GACCATTGCCACCATCGCATGGGTGTGATCACATACTCACGTGCATTGACCGTTTTACAAGATGGCCCGAAGCTATTCCCATCACGTCTATCACGGCGGAGACAGTTGCTCACCGCTTCGTAGAACGATGGATAGCACTATATGGTTGTCCCTCGACCGTCACAACTGACCGAGGACAACAATTTGAGTCCGCATTATTCTCCTCACTGACCCAGCTGCTTGGTACGGAACGCATACGCACTACCGCCTACCATCCAGCATCGAATGGTTTAGTTGAACGGTTTCATCGCCAACTTAAAAGTGCTCTTCGAGCACACGAAAACGACAATTGGTACGAAACCTTACCGCTCGTTCTCTTAGGTATCAGAATGAGTTTGAAGGCAGATATCCAATGTTCCGCCGCTGAACTTGTATACGACACGACATTGCGTTTGCCTGGGGAATTCTTCACACCACGGAGCAGTAACGATTTCGATAAATCAGACTACGTCCATCGACTGTCTGCATTTATGCGAACGCTGTCTCCGGCGTCAACTCGAATACAGCATCGACAGGTCGCTCTCCCTTGAGAGTTATTCACCTGTTTTCATACGAGTAGATTCGGTACGCAAACCTTTGCAACAGCCTTACGAAGGCCCTTTTCACATGATCTCTCGTCACGAAAAGACCTTAAAGGTTGATCGACATGGCCGCGTCGAGATCGTCATCATTGATCGTCTCAAACCAGCACACGTCGATTACAGTGGCCCACCTGATAACTTGAGACTCAATGCCAGACCTATCAAACCTACTAGCGTGATCTCTACATCTACCTCAGATCCCACGCTAGATACCTCAGAGACCTCGTTCTCACGTCCCGGTCAACATCACGTGTCATCTGCACCATCTACGAACGAGACTACCGTCTCACGTTTCGGTCGCCGAGTACGCTTACCCGTACGCTTTCGAGACTAACCGCACGGTCAACATCGGATACGGTGTAAGACAATTCCTATACTACACTTCTTTTTTTGTATACTGAGCCCACGCCTCCAACCATCGCCCGTTTGGTAACGTCGACTTCAGTCAACTTTGGCGAAAGCTGGTTTGGGTACCCACGCTCTTGTCAACGCACTCAGTCGATTATCTGGTTTCAAATTCGCCTGGCATACGCTTGATCGTTATGGTCGCTTCCGGTTTCTTGGCTCAACATGGTTTCGTCCTACGTCTGCAGCGTTTTTCTGGTCCGCATCCCTACGAACACAATCTTCAGATCCTGGATACAAACCACTATGATGTGGTATGCAAACTCGAGCAACAAATACAGCACACTTCTCCTGGTACCGTTCTACGTAAAAGACTTTCGTTGGCAACTCGAGGATCAACGATCGCTTCTTGTTTCGCCGATTCTTCCGTCCTACAACCGCTCTTTTGCCGATCAGTCCCACGAATCAAACCGCTACCTATCGAAAGTGTAAACCCTTTCTAGCGGGGGGCTCCTGTAGTGACCTACTTTTGTCGACAGAACGCGATTGATTCAATGAAAACAATTATTATTATAACCAATTGTACCAGTGACTGTTTTACTGTGCTCGTTTGTTTAACTATGCTAATGACAGCCATTACACTCACTCTGCCGTTGACTTTGAACTTGTACGAATTCGGTTACGTTTAGTAACCACGCTTGTACTCCTTTGGCACGATCTCGGTATTCGTTCGATACCACGAGATCGCCAACAAATACATCTCGACTACAGCCATCATCTGTCTTCTGATATTGGCCCACGGGGATCTTATTGGTTAATTGGCACGTAGTCTTGTAGTGGTGCTCACAGTCAAGCTCAACTCGACACCACGCTACAATACTTTTGAGAATAGTTTTAAAAATCTGCCTCAGGGGTGCGAATATTATTTATAGCTAGATCGCATTAACCATGCTGGATACAATGCAAAAGAGAGATATAGTAAGTTCATTGAGAGTAAACAGTAAATAATATAACTCTATCCTACTGAGTTCCACAGAAGCCATAACTAGTTATAACTTTGTCTTCATCTTTCAAAAGGGTCATTAATAAAACTTTAATCCCTTTGTTAGACGAAGTAATCCATTTAAATAAATACTTTTCATCTTCGTAAATTCTTTTTGTTACACTAAATGAATAAATATTCCAAAACTATTATTTTACATATAAAATCTTTCTTAGAGCTTATTTTCATGTTGAACACTGAAGTGGTAAATACACTAGATGGATGCTATTAATAATGAAAGTTGGATTTTTCAATGGTTTATCAATACATAGGGCCAGATTAAATAAACTGCTTCCACTCCTCTGTCTGAGCAAAGAAAATTCAAATGATGTATGTCAAGTATTTGCACTTTTGGTCCATTATTAATGATTTTAAAAGGTTAGAAGTATTATCTAACTAAATTGGAAATCTAAGTGCTCTTTCATTAATTGATTTCATCTACTGATACGGTGGCTTGGGTTTACAAATAACCATGTATAATTGTCATTTTTAGATCACAAGGAGACCATGATACAAGCAAGCTATAAATCCAAAATCAATTTATGATTTAGCCCGATCCTCATCCAACGCTACCAATGAGTCATCACGTCGATTTCCAACTTTATTGTCTTCACATATTACAGTTTTCTGTCAGAATGAGCGAGTTCAAAACTAGGATGAAATAGCTATCCAGTGATTACGAGCTATGACGTTTGATTCAAGCACACAAGCTTCATATACGTTTGCTCAACCAGATGAGTGAGAATACTAGGATGCTGTGATTAGCAAATTGAGTAATTAGGTGCATAAATTTTTGCTATATATACATTTTATCTTCTAACTCAGACGAGTAAATTTATGCAATGATCTTAAGTTCACGATCTCGCATCTACAGTTTAAGCTTGAAATGGCATTTGAGGGTAGGCAAATAATATGCTTAAAATGCCCAAGCTTATTATTAGTGCTTCCTGATTTCAGGGTTTCTTTAGTTGTCGTCAATTCATGATTAAAACAATATCTTCCATAGTTTTCTTCAAGTATTAAAATTTAATCCAATTTGCTGTGTTACAGTCGTAATTGAAACACCAGTTATGTGAGGAGGACCAACGGGTAAACTCGAGGAAGCTCAGAAAGAGCCGAAGACTTTCCATCCATACATTCTGGCCCCCAAATGCCCTGGTACGGCCGAGAGTGGGGAGAGTCCGCTCTCCCTCTCGAAATGCTCTCACATGGCCACGCATAAACAGCCCCTGCCAGGGAAGTCCTACTCACTGCCTTCTCGTGGCGGGGGTGTTGTTTACAAAAATGAGAGGACGAAAAGCGAATGTCCGGCGCTTTAACCGGATCCCAAATCAATGGTGCACATGGGCTCCAGTATCCTGCGGGAACAAATGGCGTATGAACCAATCGTTGGTCACCGGCTACCATCGGACTGCATCTCCTCACGATGCTACACTGCCTTGTGGATCAGATCTTCAGGTCAAAGGCTCGGGGTGTGGCCCCCTAAGAAAACCACCTGCTTCGGTTTGGGCACAGTCCTCACACATATCCAATGAGATCTGTGTGGCGCATATGTATTTGGTGCCTTCTTGTACCGATATCTATGTGTTAAAATAATAATAATAAATATCACGAAAGTTTACAATCTTTTTAGTTTCTTCGCGTACCGGTTCATTCGTAACTAATTGTTATGACCTTGATTTGTCTACCCACTTTTTGGTGCCGAGGATACTTGTCTAATCTAGATTAAGACCTTGATGCGATAGGCTGATCAGCTTAACCTTGAGACTAGTACGCGTGAGTTCGAGATGGGGTAGAGAGAAGAAAACTATTCTGTCACCTGATTGGTGGGCAAGCACACGAATGAGAGAGAAGACAAGACAACTGGAACACTACTCGATCTATTTCCCTGACCACTGAACTCACTGGATTCACTGAATTCAGATTAGTGTAAAAAGGTACATGAATAAATAAGTGAATAACCCGACCGCAACGTACAATAATTAGGAAAAATACAATTATGTCCAAAGCTGGGAATTAGAGTAGAAAATAGGGTGCAAAATAATATGTTTAAATTACAATAGCTTCGGAACAGAAAAAGGTATGGCATTGAATGACATTTCGAACGAAAGCTTATGTTCTGTAGAATAGATTAGGGACAAAAATAAATGTCAGTGTTTTACAAGCTTTGAATAAAATGAAATAACGTCCCGAAAAATAGCCTTCGTAGTTTGTCAGGGCTTCTTGTTTCCCGGTTCACATCACTAATGGAATGCCTTTTGAACAGATCCGGGAATTCCTATTGAATACACTACATTCAATGCTCCGACGTGCTGTTTTATGGTGTAGGAGTAGGTTGGAAGAAAGATAGGGGCGGCCAGACCAAAACATGGCACAAATCCATGAAGTCACTGACAAGTGGACTGAGTCATGTTGGTAGGTGTAGACTACCTGGTTGGGGACCGCGAGACGATAGCAACCGATAGTTAGAGACCTTGAATGACATGGCTCAAAATCGTTTGCAATGGCGCAGGTGCATCCACTCTTTGTGTTCTCTCAAACTCTAATCTTCTGAATTCTTCATGTCCTTTATTTTCTTTCCCAATTTATTCCACTGGACTATACTCCTTTAATAACATCATCAAACCTTAATGTCCCCTATCTCTACTTATACTTTCAGTACCTCTACCACTATGGGATTTGAATCGATAACTGAATCTCTGTGCTAATGTGGTATGGCAACTCGAACTGATGTACGTACGTACGAAGTTCCACGTTGTTACTGACTGACTGACTGACATTCAATGCTATTAATTATTCTATTTGTCATAGAAATGGAGTAATTTACTGGGTAGTCGATGAAGTGTCCAAAGACTACATGGACCGATTTAAAGTTCAGGGTATGACAAGAAAAGGTGTCAAGGGAGATAAAAAGTCTTCCCATTTCCTTGCATTCATTAGCAAGGATGTGTTTAATCTGTCAATAAATACAACGTTCACAAAGAAGTCTATTTTATTGCCGTATGAAAATGTAAAGGAATTATTGATCATTCATATGAAAAGTACAAGCCTTTGAATGTAGAGTGAAATTTGACAAAATGATTCGTTAAGGTGACCAAAATATCACAGATTTTATTCCCGAACTCCAAAAACAAACCAAGGAATGTTCGCTACGGAGGTAATCAAGCTCTGGTTTACATGATAAACAAGGAATAATCACACTACCATTTAAATACACAATACTGTCAGGACTAATGAATAGTTGATCATTTATAGAAAAATAAACAAGCATATCTACGTTTCTTATTAACATTTCAATTACATGGCCAAATCATCAACTAGTAACTTAATTAAATGAAATTCCACTGCTTAAAAGAAAAGATATTGAATTGAAGCATGAATTCACAGAAATACAAGCGAACAATCTGTATAATGCATTTGAAATGTTTCACATGTCACCGGAAAACTGATACTATATTAATTGATATTTATTGTATTTCTATTATTGAAAAAAGTTTTACTTCATTACGGCTGAAATTAAATATGTCATATGATTTTCGGCAAAAATGTAAATCTTATTGGAGTATTATACACAGTGTTGTCAAAATACTCGACAGTAACTAAGCAACGAATCTTGTTTAGAATGTTTTAATATAATTTGTCATTTATAAAATATCACAGGGAGTATGTATAAATTAACTAAATTCAAAGTATCGATAATCTCATATTGAAAGACGATACATTCTATAAAAAAACAATTAAAAACAGAATATCATAGATTTTTGTGTGATTAAACTTTGTGAAAAATACCTTTCGTTTTGTAGATAACTTAATGGACTTTGAACTGTTATTTTATATTAAATATAGCATTGAATAGATCAAACGACGTATTTCATTTAGTTTTATAATTACTGTGCTTAGTTGTATGAAGTTATGAAATATTGAATAGATTTTTTTTCTGATGAGTAAATTTGAGTAAAAATGAACAACCCTTACTTCCACCCCACAATAAACATAGTATATGCCAAACTTACGAGGAACGCTCGGTATGTTCCACAATGAAATAAGAAACATTACACAACGAATGAGTGTTTACGGAACAATGAACAGTAGTGCTAAGTAGCTCCAGAAGAATTATAGTGAAGCATCACAAGACAATAAAATAACATCAATTTCACTCCTGTTCAACAGCATTAACACAGAGATAATAGAAAAATACAGTAACAATCCATATATGTCAAAATACAAAGATAATTAGTCTTTATTATTGTTCAAATGTTACAGCTCCTTTTGTTGACATATAGTGTACTGTCAACCCACGTAGATCACTTTAGTCTCTTTGCACTGCGGCATAGACTTTCGTATAACAGCCATTCAGATTTCCTGCTAATTAACTTTGTCTATTGGGTTGTAGTTGTGTTTGTTGGTCCGGTGAGTTGAATGCAACGAGAGATTAGAAGTTTTTATTTCACCAATTGGAATTACAAATTGTAAGCACTGATGATCCCGTTGGAAACAATTTTTTCATCCTAACTAGATTATTATTATTTAAAAGCTGCTCAATGTCACTAATTATCAATATTTGGTCGTACTATGGATAAATTGCAGAAATTCTAGCTTTCATAATCCTGGAATCCGAAGAGACGGATATGAAATGAATTTCGACGTTTGGTTGCATTACTTTGGTTCACAGCTTAATTGGTTATAAAAGTGATATAACGGACTGCAACATACTGTTAATTAAGAGACTTGGTTTATTAAGTAATTGCCTAAAAATGAATTTCTTGAATAAGCAACTATACTGTCACACACAGTCTAATCAGGACTATAGTCAAAGCAGATAACTATCTATGTAGCCAACTATCATAATCTGTTTCTAAAGTGTAAATCAATACAATTAGTATAAAAATTCAAAATAGTGGTCAATTAGAAAGAGGACAGTAAACACACGCATACCGAACAGTAGCAGAGATACAGGATGAATCACTAAAATGTATTAGAGTAATAGCCAGTTTGGGATTAAATGAGTCTTAAATAGTGGGCCGTTAACTCATATGATTGGTTGATTCACACTTATCGATAGAGATTAACAGTTTGCTTTTACACACAGAATACAACTAGGTGATACTCTATTACATTTTTTCCTCTGTCAGAACAACTCACAACTATGGACAAAGTAACTTTCGACTTTAGTTTTCTAGATATTATTCCTAAAATAGTAGACAAATAAATAGCTTTGGAAATTCGGTCACAAAAAATCACACCAAAATTATTTGGATGTAGCTGTCTTCTATAAAGAAGGTTGAAAATATGTATCTATTGGGTTCACTTAAAATAGTAGCATCTAAGCTTTCCAGATAACATCGAAGGACAATGAAGTAAAACGAATTACTTTATCGCCCACGATTTTAACGCCAAAACAGTTCAAAACAAGCAGAAACTTAGGTATGACATTTAAAATCGAATCCTGGTGCACAAATAAATATTGGGTCCATATAAATCCTGAAAATCGTTTGTAAAGCCTTAGTCTTAGAGATGCAACTCAACTGGCAGCACCCTATTTGAACTAAGAACTGGACATGTGGATTCATCCCCATCTACCGTCAAGGAATTTATAGAGGACCACCTCTCAAAAATGTTGGTACTCCTAAACAGACGTATGCATAAATTTACGACTAACCGAATGCAGAAAAAAGCAAGCACGAAACCTCTTTCGATTCACTACAAGGTTGGTAAGATTAAGAATACATTAAAGAAGCTTATCAATAAACCACACATTATGTAGAGCCTGGCACAAACCTTACACTTAACAATGGGATATTGACAAGAAATCGAAGCTGAAATAGTGTTAGTGATAGTAAGATTTGGACATGAAGGATGTAATTCAAAGAAATATGTGAAATTGCGCGAATGAACTACTAAAACCCAAAATTTAAGGGAAGACAGTAAACAGATTCATACTGCTACAAACAACACCCAGCCATATCACCTGATGTTTTCAATCACAGATTACGAATTTTCATAGATTCAACAAGGAAATCTCTGCCTTCTTAAATCGGATTCACATTCCTGTTTAGTTGTTTGTGGTTATTTCACAGTAATCTTATACCAAATACCATATAACTAAGAGGCAGCTGAGCATAACTAAAACATTTCTTGGTCATTGTGACTGTAACTTAACACCTCTTAAAATTCTCATTGTTTTGTATGGCGCATATATATTTGGTGCCCTCTTGTACCAATATTTATGTGTTCAAATAAATAAATATGAACAGTTCTCTATGGAAGACCTGTGTTATTTTTTTATTTATTTGAACACATAAATATTGGTACAGGGGGGGCACCAAATATATATGCGCCACACAAAACAATGATAATTTGAAGAGGAGAAAAAAAAGTAATGAACGTGGGGAATTATAAAAAAGAGCGAGAGAGAGAACAATGATGGGGGAAACGGAAAGGTACAATCAGAAGAAATCTTTCAGTTAAGGAAGATACACCACTTTTTATGGAGAAAGTAAAAGAAGGTTACAGCAGGATCGACACTAGCTTCTATTCTGAGCCATATCTGATAACGTCTCTAGCCACTGCGGTAAACCGTCTCTCGGATCCCAGCCCGGGAGTCGTGAAGGACCAACAGAAGCTAGCCCTTTGCAGCTTTCTTTCATACCACGACACCATGTCATACACTGACCACCTCTCCGCTTTTTTCAACCTGTCCCAGAGTCGGCAAATAATGCACGACGAGGAATTCTCTGGGACGACATTCGTAGAACATGTCCAAGCCACCGAAGCCGATATTTCAAGATGGTGACACCAATTTCATTATCGTCTCTGTGACCGAACACACGATGCCGGACCTCTGCATTACTGACATGGTGTTGCCACTGGATGCCAGCAATCCTTCGGAGACAACGATGATCGAACACAGAGAGTCGTCTAACATCCTCAACTCGGAGAGGCCAGGTTTCACAAGCATAGAGCAAAACTGCTCTCACCGTCGCGTTGTAGATCCGACCTTTTACAGCCAGACTAACATCACGAAGGCGCCAAAGGTGGCCCAGATTGGCATAAGCCGCTCTGGCTTTCACTATACGTGCATTGATCTCATCACTCACGCCACCACCAGCACTTATGCAGCTACCTAGATACACAAACTTTTCGCCTGCTTCGGTTTGGGCACCCGGGCAGTATCACAGCCCTCACACATATCCAATGAGATCTGTGTGGCGCATATGTATTTGGTGCCTTCTTGTACCGATATCGATGTGTTAAAATAAATAAAAACAAATACGAACTTTTCGACCACTTCTATCTGCTCACCATCCAGAGTGAGTACAGGACTAGAATCCTGTCAGTCTTGTAGGAGTACTTTGCACTTCGAAGGTGCAAAGCACATACCATACCTACGGACATTGATTGCCAACTGATTAAGTGCGGATTGCATGGCTTGAACATTCTAGCACAGTAAGACAATATCATCCGCATACTCAAGGTCAAGAAGTCTTTCTCCAGGCAACAGATCCACACCACCATTACTTACATCCATCAGAGCTGTTTCCAGAATGTCATCGATGCCAAAGTTGAAGAGGAATGGTGAGATTGGGCAACCCTGCCTAACTCCACTGCTCGAATGGAATAATGGAGAAAGGTGGTTGTATGCCCTCACTCTGCCTGAGGTGTTTGTGTATAGGGCTTTTAGGATGTTAATAAACTTCTCAGGCACACCCTTCTTCAATAGACAATCCCAGAGAACAGTTCTGTTCAACGAATCGAAGGCGGACCTGATATCAAGAAACACTACGATTGTTGGCCTTTGATAAGTATGGCGGTGTTCTAACACTTGGCGGAGGGTGAAGATATGATCAATACATCCTCGACCAGAACGAAACCCAGCCTGCTCCTCACGAGTCAATCCTTCTCGGGTTCTGAACAACCTACGAAATATGATGGAAGCCAATAGCTTGGACGCAATTGGAAGTAGACTTATCCCCCGATATTTGTTATAGGAACAACGTGAACCCTTTCTAAAGATAGGGACAACTATCAACTCATTCCATGACGTTGGTACACACTCTAGTTCCCAGACCTTTGTAAACAACGTCGTCAGTCCCTTAGTCAGAATGTCACCACCATCTTTAAAAAGAGCCGGAGGTAAGTCGTCTGGGCCCGGTGATTTGTAACGTTTCAAGAGTTGGAGTTCCTTGCGGACTTCCGCCTCATTTGGTGGATCAGTCGTCACCGGCCATGGAGGGCAGGACAGTTTGACCGATGTTGCCGGAGCAGCAGGCCAGTTGAACTGCCCTTCAAAGAATTCTGCCCATCGTCCAAGACGTCGATGGATGTTAGTGATTGGCGTTCCGTCATCCTCGCAGATTGTTTCGCTCACACCAGACTTCTTGCTGTCAGTGGCTCGGATGAGTTGGAAGAGCCTCCAGTAATTACCAGATACAGTTGCTGCTTCCAGCTCATTAGCACGCTCCGACCACCAGGCTTCTCGGTCCTTACTCAAGCTTCGCCCGATTTCATTACGTAACATCCTTCGTCTGTGGTCAAACTCACGGTCACCCGGAGTAGACCGATGGGCTTCAACCAGTTGTAAGGAACCAGAAGAAATCCAGTGCTTGTAAGCGGGACGTTTCGCGAACACACAACAGACTTGACCCGCCATTTTTATGGCGTTATGAAGTTGCAACCAATGCTCATCTATACTTTTCGGTGGAATGGTAGCTAGCCTAGAAGCTAGCTCGGTTCGGTACTTACTAGCAACAGAAGTTGCAACCAGCTTGCTAACATCAATCCTTTGGTGGCGGTCACTTCGTTGGCCACTGAAAAGTAAGGTAAGATTGGCTCAGACCAGAACATGATCAGAATCCAAAAGGAGCGGCAGTTTTGTACACAACCACGCCAGCGGTAGCTGATCGCGATGTGATCAATCTGTATACAGGCTTGAGATGTAGAAGGGGGACGCCAGGTGGCACATCGGCGATGACTGTGCCGAAAGTTAGTGCTAGCCAGAAACAGGTTGTGGTCTGTGCATAGCTGCAGTAGACGTTCCTCGTTAGCTGTCCTGCGACCAACAAGTCCCCATCGGCCACCTAAACGACTCTTCTGTGCCTAGACGCCCGACCTGAGCATTCAAGTCTCCAGCTAGTACTACAATATCTGTCGAGCGCACTTTCTGGAGAACAGTTAACTGGTGGTAGAACTCATCCTTGATTGCATCCGGGCTGCAATCTGTCGGGGCATAGGCGGAGATGACGAAAAGATATCGTTTCTCACGCCTATTTCTTCTCACTTTGATGGAACTTTCTAATCTAACAGCACATAACCGACTGTTAATGGGGATACAGTCGACTAGTGATGCCTCAGCTCTAGCGCTTAGTGCGACACCAACGCCAGCAAGACCAGACGAAGATGCCACAGGGTCCCCGGATAAACGCACATAAAACAAGCTTTTTGAAACGACAGATGGAGAGCGAACTTGTAGTACTTCACCAGAGTCTTGAATACGGGTCTCGGATAGACAACACACATCAATATTAAGACTTTCCAAAGACATAGCCAGCCCTATCTGTTGTCCGACCTGCATAAGTGTGAGAACGTTGAAGGCAGCCAGTTTGAATGGTGTACGTGGTTTCAGAAAAACTGCTTCACTACTCGTATTCGGTGGTAACATACAATTTTCAACCAGGCAGTGACTCGAGAACGTTTAGATAAAGCTGAATTTTCACCATAGGTGAGCTGCTGTCTAGGTCGAAACGGATACATAAAGTAGGAATAAGAGAGGGTGAATAAATGACGTGGTAAAATAATAATAATAATAACAGTACGAGTCATTTCAATGTTAATCAGAGAGAAAGGAATATTTTCCTGTGTTACTCAGAGTATATCAATCAAACGCTATTAATAGATGATTGAGTGCTAGTAGCCTTCCAGTTATAAGCTAATACAAAAGCAAACCGATGGACTGTACAATTGCTCTTCAGTGGACAAATACCTTGCCTGAATAACATGAAGAAAGTTGACAGGAGCCTAATGAGTCTTATGAATCCGTAATAAGAAATAGTTAGCCACCAATGATCGGGAGCTTTCGAGATAAGTGAAGTGACTGAATACTCTACTCTTATGCGTCAGAGCAGGTACTGCTAAGTATTTAGTGAAGATTGACTAAATGATTTTCAGTCCGCTGTTGGCAATCCTTAGTAAGAATTTATGGAACGCTAGTTGACTTAGGAAGCTTCTGTTAAATAAATGGATGGTCAACAATCCATCTAATACAATACACACAAGAATGAGAGCAACTTAAGTAGGAACTGGAGAACTCTCTATTTAACGTCTATGAACGGCATTACGGAAAACCGTTCAGTTGCTTTTATGTAACAGCCAAATCGGGCATAAACACTTAGTTGTTGAGATTATTGAGAAGAAACAGGAAAGCAGCCCTTTCCCAGATAAAATTCTGGAGAGATTTCAGTTTTATCCGCTCTCCATTTATCCACTGTTCATTATTAAATTTAGCGAGAGTGCCATTAAGCCTCCCCGTTAACTCTTAGTGAAGTCAAAACCATGATTAACATATGAAAGTCAACTAGACTTTCAGAACGATGGCTTAAAATGTGTGATACCGAATTTTAGGGGCTGAATGTAAGTTAGACCCCACCATTAATAGTCCCAGTCTATATGAAAAGAAAAAAGTCCTACTGTTACAATAACAGGATAATCGGCTTGAAATATACAGTTTCTAAGACAGACTTGTATTCCAACGTCTGAGACTTGTGAAAATAAAATCCAAAGAATCCAGGGTTCTACAAGTATGGCTGTGAATGTATACATCAAATACATACCGCTTATCAAGGTTTACAACTCACGCGTATTCACCAAATCTGACTACCTATCTGTATGCGAAGATTATGCTATACTTGCATAATAACAGATAATTCGTAACACCCAACACATCATCCATCGACCACTTAGTCTCATTTCGATTACTAAGTAAAACTTCAGAGACCAGTCACTAAATAATTGCATTTCGATGTGATAAACACTCAGCTATATATAGCTATCTTCTATCAGTCAGTCAGCTACAACGTAGGACCAGGCACATATATGCATCGATCCAAGTTGCCATACCGCATTGGCACAACAAGATGAACACCGGATTCATAGAAGTGGTTAATTCAGTGGTGGTAATATATAAAAGAAAATTGCATATAAGGAGATAGAACATGAACAAAGAATTAGTTCGTAGAAAGATATGAAGCAATCTTAATCTCTTAGTTTAGAGGAAGACAGAGTGTATATACCGACGCCATTGTGATCGATTCTGAGCCATGTCACCAAGAGTCTCCAACCATTGGTAACGATAGTCACGCGGACCCCAACCAAGTAGTCTGCATCTACCAACATGGCTCAGACTAGAAGTTAGTGACTTCAAGCACCGATGCCACGTTTTTGGTCATACATATGAATACCTTGGTTTAGAAAAGGTCCGCTAGAAAGTAAAGAATAAGCCTAAGGGGTCATGTTTGTAATTTCAACAACGTCACAGCATATATCAATTCCTGTTAAAAAACACTCATATGCTGGTCAAGTCATCTTAACCTGTAAAGCACACATTGCCGAAAGTAACTTTACGCACTAAGAAACATCCGTTAAATATCAAGAGACTAGGAATAGATAAATACGATTATATTCTGAGAACAGGACAAAAACAAATATTGGATGATTAAATAAGATAGATTTTGTATCAAAATGATTTAACAGTAACTTACACAAAGTAATAATTTCTAACTCCTAAATGGAGAATGGATATTATAACTGAAGAAAAAGTTATTGTTTCTCTTGAGGTGGGACGATAACTACAGGGATATGAGCGTGATGAAGAACATAATCGCTAACACTCCCCAAGAATGTACGACGAATAGCTCCAAGACCACGATTGCCCATCAGAATAACGTTTGCCTTATGGTCTGAAATTGCTTTTACTAGAGAGCTACCAGGTTTGGTATCAACATGTAAAAACGCCTTAGCATTGAGCTTGTAACTTTTAGCTTCGTGCATATACTTCTGACCAAGCTTTTTACCTTGTTCAATGCTTTCTTCCATAACCCGTGTCATGTCAGGTATTGGAGGAGATTCCATTGTCATTCCAATGGCTGGAGTGTTATAAACTGGCTCTATTACGTGTACAAATGTTATGCAGTCAGTGTCACGTTTCATATTTTCCAAGTACCAACGAAATGCCCTATCACAATGATCACTGCCATCAATCGGGATCAATATAACACGAGATGATTCAGCAGAATCAGCCATAATTCCACAACCTATAAACGGTAAACAAATGTTTCTTATATAATGAAATAAAAGCGAAGATTTCAACCAATTAAATTGATATATCACATTAGTTAACACGAAGATATACAGACAGGTCCTCATAGCCAATAGTGTTAAAGCATTCAACAATTTATGAGTGAATGACACTATTAACATGTCACTTTTATCACTAGCTGATATGAACTACCAGAACCAATGAAAACTAGGCATTATTTGTTCGTTTTCACTTTTGGTTTTATCCTGCTAACATAAAACGTTGGTGTTCTAGTGTCTCATGTAAAAAGAAACCAGTTTTCCATGCTTACAATATTTCACTGAAGCCATAGTTAAAACAGTATAGGATTAATTCTATTAAATTCGGTGTTAACTAAAATTGTTGTTGTAGCAATGCCTTCCACTAAATGACTTGTCGATGTACCCATCTTTCCGTTGTCTTTTAAGACTTCAAAGTGAGCGATATGTATTTACTTGACTTGGATGAACTTTGAATGTTTCCAATTCTTGATGACAGGATATTGTAATTAACGGTTACGTATTGCCGACTCATCTCGTCTTTCATGGAAAACTGATTTCTGTTGATGAAAAGTGATTTATTCACTTGGTTAAACGGCTCTACACTCCATGAACATAATCAGTATAAGGTTGTGGAGATTTTTTGGGTTTTTATTGCGACCATGAACTGATCAATGTTAGATAACCATTGAAAATCTGGAAGCACTGGACGACCGTTTAGGCCCAATGTGGAACCTGTCACGTGGGACTTGGACCTCTAGACCACTTAGTTGGCAACCAACGGTGTTCATGTCTGTTCATGTGTAAATTGATCATTTCAAATAAAGTGAGGAATGGGTAGAATGCTAGTAACAAAATAATGATACATTTCTGATATCTCAATGTGTAGAAATTAGAATTCCTTACGTTTCGAGACTTATATTAGGTCGCTTCTTTTGAGTAGATAAATAGCCGAATTCAATTAACACAAGTATAGTATATTAGAACAAGACAAAATACTTAGTTGGGACTAACTGCATTGTAGTACAAAGTCCGTAAGTCAGTATGGTATCATTCTTTGGAGTCATATAGAGCCATATCTTTATCTTAGTAAATATTGATCTCCTTACCGAAATTTAATGGGATAAAAGACTAGTACAAGTTTAGAACCGTATCAGTTAAACTATTCAGTTATATACGAATATTCGTCAAGATTAGAACGAATAGTTTAACAGAAATTGAGGATCTCAGTTGTATATTAATGACTGAATAATTTTTCAATTACAGCGATAACATTTAAGTGATTCGTTTATTCGTCATTGAAAACATAAATAATAACTTATTTAAATGCGATGTATTTAGTAGTACAAAACCCTTCTTCAAATAGATTCAAATACTAGTAGCTATCAAAAACTGTTGATCATAATTATCAAATTAATAAATAAAAGAGGATCTAATTTGAAATTCATTTAAAATTAATTATTTTGATTCCTTTCATTTCATGGACTAAGAATGATATGAGAGAGTAGTAGCAAAATGTGACCACAATATTTTGTTTGAACACATTAATTTACCATGTAAAATTAAATTTCATATTTTAACGATTACTATTGTTATTGTATAAGAGATCCAAATTAGCCTGACTCCGTCGTGTATTGTATCTACTGGTTTTGTTTAAATATTAACATTTTGAAAGCACTAATACGTATAGCAGTAAAATATTTCACTACATCTTTTGTCCACTTTAATTTGATGATAAATTACTGTAATGGTTTACTTTCCTATTGAATTTATTAATAACTTTAGTATTTTTCGAGGTTTATAGAATCTCCAAGTTACCTGAATCTGATAAAGTGAGCAAATGTTTCATTGACCAGTGTCAGTGACTCATAATATTGGATCTTTTCTCAATCGTCTTTGATATTTAGTCACATTTTAAGAAGTAATTATATTGGTCATAGAGGGTCGATTTTATTGTATTATATATCCAAACTTATTTAGTAAATTATTAAGTGATGAGTGCCAGCTACTTAGTTTAATGTACATAAATTTGACTGTTAATCGATGCAAATCATTTAAAAATTCACGTATTCAAATGCTATTTTGATTCATTTTTAGTGTTAAATAAATCCTCATCTTCAGTCTTTGCGTTCGTGCTTGTGTCAACAGATTTATAGTTTCCCTACTATAGTACCAGGGTATTACTCATACAATTTCCTAAGGTTAACTCTGACAACACTATAGTTATAGAAATTGAATTACGCAAGCTATATGTTACTGTGATACAAAGAGCTATGGATATGAATATGTGAAATAGAATGAAGCAAATTGTATAGGTCACATAAGGTCGAGGATCTCAAACAAAATCCTCAGCAAACTAAAAGAGACTAGTTCAAAGGGATCATAGACCACAATTTCGTGCACAGCTGAATTTTCAGCAATTAACCAATTCATGTCTGTGTCCAAAGTGACATATCTAATTCTTCATTTCATCATGGTCTGGATCTGCATTTAGTTTTTCATACTTTATGATAAGTAGTTATTAGCATTCGTTTGTTGTTTATTTTTAACTTTATTCTTCTCATCTGTGGACGACTTTTACCGAAATACGCTTCACTAATCGTTTGACCATTATGGAACTACTTTTTGGTAATTTAATTTCCTAAACATTCCTCCAACAGTATAGGCAGAGATGGATAGCGGCTAGCATTGAAATCCAGGACGAGCGTCAACACGTCAACACCTCTCTATCTTAAAATGGCCTAACTATATTAAATAACTACGAATATACGATCACAGAATCTTAATAAATAGGATTTTTGAAGAAGAAGCCTTATTTGCTGAACTATAATTTTTTAATGACGAAACAGGTTTCTTTTGTTGTTGGAGTGAATTTCTTTAGTTACATATATATGTTATGGATGAGTTACAAGCAATATAGAACTTGGGTAAAACAGAACATCATACAGGTATCTTACAAAAGTCCAAAGTAAAAAACCCACTGAATTGTAATGAGTGGAAATTTAGCCGAATTTCCGTATTGAAAGACATAATCAACAAAATTCTAGCAATACCGAAATCAGTAGGACATAAGTTTAAAGAATTTCGAGATTATTCAGTAATGTACAATACATCATTTAATTTCTTTGAGGAGGAAACTGAGAACTGTAAACTTAACGAAGGATCACTTTTTTAGAAAAATTAATCAATTAATTTTAACTTATATTCTAAAACAGAGATTATTCTTGCATCGAATATCAGTTAGATTTGATATCATAACTCCAAGGTAAAACAGTACAAATATCAGATATATTCCAATATTCATCCGTTACGAAATGTTATTAAGTCCCTCTGTTCAACATTAATCAAATTCAATGGAAAATCCAAAATAATCAAATTACTCCAACTGAAAATCATTCATCTAACCAGTTAAGACTAAATTATCATTGTTACCAATGCCATCTGTGTCCTCAATTCAAACAAAGAAATAAAAATGAGGTTAATGTTTGAAGTTGCTTCTAGAAAATGAAAATAAATAAAGGCCAAGTGGATTAAATTGAAGAAAGGCCGGGTGGGATATCAGTATTCGCTAGTATTGCGAATGATCAATACTCACTATTTAAATAGAAGTGTCGACTAATAAAGGGGATAATTGACCTCTTTGTGTTTTGTGATAAAAATCAATAAAATGGGTTGACCCACGTACGTTGATATGAATAGCAACTTACTATTTAGCAAAATTTTGATTAAATTTCATACTGTTCTAATTTATTAACAATTCATGGTGTACAGAAATAATTGAAAAACAATATTGTAGGAGAGAACAAACCAGCTTCCGGCTGAAGAGGAAATTAAGAAAAGACGTTGAAAGTGGATATGACACACATTGAGGTAATCATCAGACTTCATCACGATGCCAGCCTCAACTTGGAATCCTTAATGGATAAGAAAAAGAGGAAGACCAAGTAATACATTGCGTCGGGAATCGGAAGAAGACATAAAAAGAAGGAATAGTGACTGAAAATAACTGGAACGGATTTTCCAGAATAGAGTTGGTTGGAGAATGTTGGTGGGCATCCTATTCTTCTCCATGAGGGTTAACAGGCGTAAATATATTTGTGTGTATGTAGACAAAAGGAAAAATAAACATCCTTCAAGTAAAGTAATAGGTTGTACCTATATCTAATTTACCATGATAAATTCTAATCTCTAATTTTACCACTTAAGAAGATCAAAGTAAAACCTTTCCTCATTGTACTTATTTAACTCAATGCTTCTTATTCTTTTCATATCACTACCTTAATAGATACGCATTTAATCAGATTGTTTAGTTTTATTGTTATGACTTGTGGTAACCTGTTAAATATTATGTGGTAACCAACATCATTCTACATGTTGATATGTAGAATATCGAACACAGAACCTAAGTACAAGTGATGTATTGAACTCGATCACATACTAGGATTTAAATCAGTGTTTAAGTAGTATGGGGAACAATCAACACATAGTTATCCACTTGAACCAATCATTTTTTCCGAAAGATGTCGTGTTATTGGAGATTACAAGAAGAGTAAGTAATGAGTGGTGTAATTTTAACAATCGTGTAATGCAACCAGAATGTGAGTGAATATCTGAGAATACAATCCTTCATTCTGATGAATAGAACATTTGATTTCTACACCATTAGTCCAGTCGAATCATCTGTACAGAACCATTAAACAAATCATATTACTAAAATTCAATAATGCCTAACAATGTAAATATTTACATTACCTGTTCACAATCTGCTTAAAATCCATGTAGTTATCATAATTATCAATGTTTACTATGAAAATAGATCTCGTATTTGCATACAATTTAGATTACTATATAATTAAATTTACATATACAATTGAATATAGTGGGAAAGTCTCAACTTTAGTATTTTGTGTTCATAACCCATTTGTAATCTGTTACAATAAATTGTGTTCATCATGAATCCGTCGATCGATGACAAAGTTTACAAAGAAT